TTAAAATATCTGAATTTGATGTTTATGGTTATGACAATGCACTTTAACTATAATGTTTATCGAATTTCTTCGCAGAATTTAATGTTGTTGGTACATATAACAACTTATTGTTGCTTTTGGTTTTACAAGGCCAATATGAAAATAGTCATGTGAGCCTCCATGGAGGTTGGTACACCGGACAAAATCAATTTATAAAGCTACTACACAACATGTTTTAATCAAGAAGTCACATCATGTTGTGATAAAACAAAGATCACGTGGATTATTTATGTTAAAAATTACTTTATTAAAAACCAAATTGCTCTAATATAAATATTAAATATTTTTATTTAATAAGTTTGGTTCAAAAAATCTAAAAATGAATCTAACTAACATTTTTTATTAAAATTTCACCTAAAACAATGTTATCTATTAATGTAATATGTATTTAATTTATGTTTCCCGCGTTTAACGCGGGTCATAATCTAGTTTTTATTATAACAAGAACTTTGAATTGATTAGAAAGATTAATAGGGTTGCAAGGCATCTTTTATCTCGCTTATCCCTAAAGTTAGAGATCCCTTATCTTTAAAAAACTTAAGACCGGTGAATCCAATTGGGCGCATACACAAAATTTTGCCTAAAATCTCTGCCTTACGTCCCAAGAAAGTGTTGGGCAAAATTGTAGGACCAAAGCAATCAACTTATATCGAGGGGAGAAGTATCCTTAATGGTCCCTTGGTGATCAATAAATACTACACATGAGCCAAATGGTTTAAAATAAAAACTTGAATATTTAAGGTTGATTTTGATAAAGTGTTTGATTTTCTTAATTGACAATATTTTGACTCGGTTATAAGTCAAATTGAGTTTAGTAAAAAGTGGCAATGTTGGATAAAAAAAGGTTGTCTCTTATCCGGTAGGGCTTCAATCTTTGTTAATGGTTCATTTATGAGAGATTTTGTGATTAGGAGGAGGTGAGAAGCGTGCGATCAACACCTTTTTGAAGGGATTTCTCTTCCTAATCGCGGTCTTCTTTTGTCACATTTAATTTATGCGGATAATGTTACTTTTCTTTGAAATCGATTTTAAATGAACTTTGTCAATCTCAATAGACTTTTGAGATGCTTCTTTATTGCTTTAAATCTTCACAAAAACAAAGTGTTGAGGATTTATGTAGATAAATCCTATGGCGAGCATTCTTTGTTGTAAGCCCGCTAAATTGACTTTTAACTTATCTTGGACCCCTTATTGGGGCCAATATGGAGCTAGCCAATAATTGAATCTCAGTTGTGGCCAGTTTGTAATTGTTGTTACCTTGTCTATGAACATCGTAAATTGATGCTGAAATTCGAAATAAAATATCTGTACTTTTTGAGTAAAAACTCAAAATACAATTACAATTACGTCTAGAAATACACGACATGGTAACAAATAAATCTGCTTATAGTTATGACCAAATAAAGAGGTGGGAGTTTAATTATAGTTTTATTAAAGTATAAAATATTACATTCAGTTACAAAATCAAAGAAATTCAACAAGTACAGATTTCTTCATTCCGTCTTTTCTTTTTATCATGTTATATTGGTAAAATATAAAATACCAATAATTACCTCAAAAATTTATACAAAAATTATTTTTTTTTATACATATAATTGCAAGCCGAAATCAGGAAGTTGAAAATTTATACTCACATCGATCGATTATAACTGTTTATATTACATTATTTGGTCAATTGGATTTGGTCCTCTGTTTTTCATTGGCCATTGTTGATGTGTTGACGTTGTGGAAGCCGGAACCGGAGCTGAGACGCCGGCGACTTGACGGCGACGCCGTGCCAACAGATTCCTCCTCGACACATCTCATGCTCCGCCTCATCGCCGTCACGTGTCACCACCGTGTAAGTCGCAGCTTTACGAGATACATCCCACGTCAAAGCTCCGAGCAACAAAACTCCAATTGCCGCCGTGGATAGAATCAACACCGATGCTCCGCCGTAGCTCCGCCCACTCAGCTGGCCGTATGCTTTGATCGCCGCTATTACCGCCAAGTAGAGCATCATCAAATTGCGAACCACCACATCAGAAACCGCCATCGCAATCAAAGAAATCAACAGAGGAAAATCGATTTCTATTGATTTGAATGCGAAGAACAAACTTAAATTGAAATTTGGGGATTTCAGAAAATCTGGAGGGTATTAATTGCAGAATGTTGGGTGGGTTTTTTTTGGGTTTTCTAGTACCTCACCTCACTCTTATCTACCACAATTTAGGGTTAAATCAATATTTTCAGAGTAAAATATTTCAGTATCAAGGTGAGATATTAAGTTTATGCACGATGTACAAGTAGCTATTGCGTAGTCTTTCTGGATTAGGAAAAACCTTTTCTGAATATTGATTTAAATATTATGTTGGTTACGATGAAATTTCTGATTACACCTCGCATTTTTTTCTCTTTGACAAATTGGATCCAGCAAATAACTTTCTTATTTTATATAAAAAGGAAGAAGATATTTTGTCATTGTCACTTTATTCAAACTAGAGAAGATATTTTCTCATTCCTCTATTATATTAATCATAACAATTTATGAGCATTGATGTGGGTTAATATGATTTTATATGTAAATTGCTGTTATTTCCTATCATGGTTCAAACTTTATAATATCCATTTTAATTTATAAAAGATAAATTATAATTATAATTTTTTATCATTAATATTTCTCTCATCTCTAGAAACGATGAGCGGATTTGTACCTAAGCCAAATATCAACATTGTATTGGACTTTGACTTGTTTTTATGCTCGTTTTGTGAGTTGGCAATTGAATTCGGTTTAAATTTTTTTTTTTTTTTTTGTAAATATTCTATGGCTAAGAAAAATATGGTCGAAAATTAGGTATTGGTGGGGGATTAAAGATTTGCACCTTGTGGTTTTGGTCAAATGCGTTTGTAGCATCGTTTTTATTCAATTAGTGCAATGTTGTTATTTGCTCTCATTTTAGTAAGTTTTAAAGATTTTTGGTTTTTTGATAGTTTTGTTGATTGAATCAAATTTTATTGAGTTAAATCGACTCAACTTTTAATAAACCCAATAAAAGGCATATCCAACTATCCAAGAGTGTGTGAACAAATTAAAACTTTCTAATTATGGTATCAAATAGTTTGTATTTGACCGAGTCAGACTCAATAAGAAATATATCAAATAGATCTTATTTAAAGAATCAAATATCTTTGTAATATGGTATTTGCTAATTTAATCTCTAGTAAAATCTTTCAGGTGTTGGAATAAAAAATCCAAAATCTAAAATATTTTTAATAGAATAAATAAAGTTATAGATAAAATTTAAGTTCTTTTAGTATTATTAGTTATTAACAAATGGAATAGAAATAGGAAATGTGTTCATGAGAATCGTTTATCCATCATAGTGGTAACTTCACTTTTGTAAAATATATAATACTCTTTTTTTTTGGTAACATTAAAGGTTACTAAATATTTGTATTCTATTGGTTAAATAGTTGTCATTTATGGTATTTCTTGTGATGTGATAAGAAAAAGTTATTTTGTTTGGGATGTTGATATAAAGTTCAAAGAAGCAAACTGAAACTAATTATTATATGTATACTCACAAGTCACACCATGACAAATATATGGCATAGTCATTTATATATCTCTCATAATGTTAATTTTTTATATCCATCTTGTATTTTATTCTTTATTACTTATTATTTAAATTGATGTTAGTTAACCGATCACATATTTAACCAGATTTAATATAATTTCAATTTAAAGATTTGAACATGCATATATAATAGTATTTTAATACAATTTATCATATCAAGTGTTATTATATACTAAATCAAAATAAAAAGAAGAAACCGAAATGGAAAAAGATTTAATGAATCATAGATATGTTTGTGAATTATTTTTTCATTATAAAAAATAAAAATTATCGATTTAATACATAATTTAATAAATTCTTTTACTAAAACTTACATATTTAAGATGATGAATAATAAGAGAAAGTTATTGTAAATGTATATCAACCTAGAAAACGATGAAGTTATATTCCTTTCTTAAACAATTTAATACTTAAAACTTAGAAGTGTCATATATTTGGATTAATGAAATGTTTTATAAAGTAATATAAATATATAACCGGCATAAAAATTTGAGTTATAAAATCAATTCGAGATTTGTGTTACTCATCGTTTATACATAAATCAGATTCAAAACGTGATGGGAGTATTTTGGATTATTTTAAAGTTGATGGATTGAAAGGTGTAAAACCCAAACATCAAGGGGAAAACTAAAAATTACTACCATAACTGTAAGCGAAGGTGACATCAGCACCGACACATGGACCTTACAGACGTGGTTATCAAACATTTAATAGCGTTTTTTTAGGTTGTTTTGTATTAAATTATGTTATCGTTAGTTGAAAGTGTAACATCTTTAGTTTGAAAGTGTTAATTTATTATGAGATATCTAAAATTATCTTTAACAAAAGGGTAAAATGCTTATCGGCACACGTAAACAATAATTTATTATAAAAAACAATTAAACAATCATAAACATTTTGAATACTATTAATAGAAACAAACAAAACCCAATATTTATACGGTAACATTTCAAAGGATTCCGGAGGAGTTGGATGATATCAAATTTCACATTCAAATTACCACACCAACGACTCTATATTCTCTATAAAGTTCTCTTATACGTACTAGACTTATTCCTCATTCATCTAGGATGTTTATCATTAAGTATCCGATGATTATTTCATATAATCGATAGAATCTAATCATTCATTAGATATTGAATATTGTCAACCAATTCAATCCAATTCGCTATCACGAACCAAATCGAAACAATCCAATTGAAAATTAGATCGGGTCGGTTTTATGGATTGGATATTAATTGTTTGATATTTAATATATCCAATTGTATATATCCCATTTCATCTAATTTTCATAAGTTTTCTATAAAACATTTATTATCACGAGTAAACTGACAAACGGAAACGAGATTTTTAATTTGGGGAGTGATAATAACATTTTTTAAAATGAGGGTGCGAAAAGGGTTTAAAGCAAGAGTAGAGTGAGTAATTTTGGTGACAGGAATACGAGACCCATTTCCGACTAAAACTGATATATTTGAATTAGTGCACTTATTTTTAAAGGACTTGAGACTACCTGAATCAGCATGAAGATGAGCGGTTGCCCCGGTGTCCATGTACCAATCTGCATTGTTTGGATCTTGAAGGGTCATAGTGTTAAATGCTTGCGGTAAAGTGGTCGTTTGATCCATATTATTCGGGTATTGAAACCATTGCCAGTTATGGCTGATTATTGGATTGCTGAGACATGGAGAAAAGAGCATGCTGGTGGGCTAAATTCGAATTGGGCCATTGTTGTTGAGAACTTGAGTGTGCACTATTTGGCCATGGGACTTGCTAATAGATAGAGAAGGCATCAGCCCATGATGCTGTTGTTGACCTTGAACTTGCGACGACGTCAACCAGGGATAATATCCCCCCCCCCCCCCAATTTTGACCGCGAGCAAATCTTTCGCCTCCGGATCGTCCCTGCCTGCCGCCATCT